CTACATAGTATCTAAAACACTACACAGTATCTAAAACACTACATAATATATAAAACACTGCAGAGTATTAGGCCTCTACACAGTAGCAAAACCACTACACAGTATAAAACGACTACACAGTATTAATCACTACACAGTATCAAAACCACTACACAGTATAGAACTACTACACAGTATAAACCACTACACAGTATAAATCACTGCACAGTATAAAACCACTACACAGTATAAAACCACTACACAGTATAAAACCACTTCACAGTATAAAACCACTACACAGTATAAAACTACTACACAGTATAAAACCACTACACAGTATAAAACGACTACACAGTATTAATCACTACACAGTATAAAACCACTACACAGTATAAAACTACTACACAGTATAAACCACTACACAGTATAAATCACTGCACAGTATAAAACCACTACACAGTATAAAACCACTACACAGTATAAAACCACTTCACAGTATAAAACCACTACACAGTATAAAACTACTACACAGTATAAAACCACTACACAGTATTAAGACTCTACACAGTATAAAACGACTACACAGTATAAAACCACTTCACAGTATATAACCACTACACAGTATAAAACCACTACACAGTATATAACCACTTCACAGTATAAAACTATTACACAGTATAACACTACTACACAGTATGAAACTATTACACAGTATAACACTACTACACAGTATAAAACGACTACACAGTATAAAACCACTACACAGTATAAAACAACTACACAGTATAAAACGACTACACAGTATAAAACGACTACCCAGTATAAAACTACTACACAGTATAAAACTATTACACAGTATAACACTACTACACAGTATAAAACGACTACACAGTATAAAACGACTACACAGTATAAAACCACTACACAGTTTAAAACGACTACACAATATAAAACGATTACACAGTATAAAACTACTACACAGTATAAAACTATTACACAGTATAACACTACTACACACAATAAAACGACTACACAGTATATAACCACTAAACAGTATAAAACGACTACACAGTATAAAACTACTACACAGTATAAAACGACTACACAGTATAAAACCACTACACAGTATAAAACGACTACACAGTATAAAACGACTACACAGTATAAAACGACTACACAGTATAAAACGACTACACAGTATAAAACGACTACACAGTATAAAACGACTACACAGTATAAAACGACTACACAGTATAAAACGACTACACAGTATAAAACGACTACACAGTATAAAACGACTACACAGTATAAAACGACTACACAGTATAAAACGACTACACAGTATAAAACGACTACACAGTATAAAACGACTACACAGTATAAAACTATTACACAGTATAACACTACTACACACAATAAAACGACTACACAGTATATAACCACTACACAGTATAAAACCACTACACAGTATAAAACTACTACACATTATAAAACGACTCCTCAGTATAAAACCACTACACAATATAAAACGACTGCACAGTATAAAACTACTACACAGTATAAAACGACTACACAGTATAAAACCACTACACAGTATAAAACGACTACACAGTATAAAACTACTACACTACTACACAGTATAAAACGACTACACAGTATAAAACCACTACATAGTATATAACCACTAAACAGTATAAAACCACTTCACAGTATATAACCACTGCACAGTATAAAACTACTACACAGTATAAAACTACTACACAGTTTAAAACACTACACAGTATGCAACCATTACACAGTATAAAACTACTACACAGTATAAAACGACTACACAGTATAAAACGACTACACAGTATAAAACGACTACACAGTATATAACCACTAAACAGTATAAAACGACTACACAGTATAAAACGACTACACAGTATAAAACTATTACACAGTATAAAACTACTACACAGTATAAAACGACTACACAGTATAAAACTACTACACAGTTTAAAACTCTACACAGTATAAAACGACTACACAATATAAAACTACTACACAGTATAAAACGACTACACAGTATAAAACTACTACACGGTATAAAACTACTACACTGTATAAAACTACTACACAGTATAGTATAAAATTACTACACAGTATAGTATAAAACCACTTCACAGTATAAAACCACTACACAGTATAAAACCAGTACACAGTATAAAACCACTACACTGTATAACAGAATGAGTATTCAAAAACACTACGTAGTGTCAAAACACTACAAAACATCGGAAACATGTCACAGAATAAACATATAGCTTCATAATGCAACGAACCTGTCTTTAGCTAAGAGCCATACTGACCAACTTTTGTATGATTTGGACCAAACATGTTTCACCGCACCTGGACCTGACGAATCAAATATTTGTCCTATTACGTGATAGATAATGTATCATCGTCAAATAAGTTTACAGCCCACAGGTGTATAATTGTTCTGACGACAACCCAACTAGTGTACCGAAATAAGTCAATTTTAAAGAAAATGTTCAGGTCCTCGATATTCCTTGGTATCATTATTTATGTTTTTGTCATTTGAAGGTGACACTAAGTTCATGAACCCTCATGATACTGGTGTATTTTTAGCTTTAAAATTATGTAGCCTGCTTGTATACAGTTGTGAGATGAGAAAGTTTCAGATTTCATTGCCTCCATATCTTTGATGATTAAGATTCATAGTTTCCTATTTGCATTTTCCCCATTTGACCTTGAATTCACCTTTTACCAGACCTTCATTGAAAATAATACATGAACAATTATGTGGGAGATTTTAGATAATTCACAGGTTCGTATGTTGTATGATCAAATACCACGGTCAACTGTCCATGTACCAGAGGAAAGTAGCAACTATAGGCTAAATTACAAACTGTCATCTTTATAAACCCACTCCACCTGACTGTACAGATTGTGACCACGTGTGTTCTGAAACATACTTGGGCAAAGCGATAAGATTTTATATAGAGGAAGATCGCCTCTGTGCTAGAGTAATGGGGTCTAAAACATGCGAATTTGGGGTATTATCGCTTCAAAATGATACTCATTCTAAAAAACTGCACGTATTGTAACCATATTTGATTCGAAAGATCATTAGTTATGCTGATCATATTTGTATAAATGAAGATGGTGCGGCCACTTTGGCCGTAGGGGATGGGGGACAAACAATACGGGTTCAAAGCTATACAACTTAAAATTGAGCTTAACCATATTTCAATGTTAACATCCGGTAATAACGACGCCTCGCCTCCGACTTTTTGACCAATGTTTTTGCAAAAGCTGTATGTTCTAATCACCGGTACACTACGACACTGTACATTTTAAATATTACAATACAAAGCTTTAGACATGTCCACATGTACAAATGGGTATTCAGTCACACTTTGTCATACAATAATATGTTCATTGTGTATCCTAATCATTGGGCTGAAGTCTGTCAAATTGGCCCGCTGTGGCAGATGTTAGAATGTATATTGTATTTGTACAAAAAAATATATTGCTTCAATGAGATTGTCTTGTTAGGTTTTTTCTCCAAGATTTCGGGTGGATGACAGCGATTTTTTTTTTTTTAACAGAATGAGTATTTCTATGGCTACAAGCAGGCTTACAGGAGAGAAGATGACATTGCCATTGTCAATGCCGGGATGCGTGTCCTACTAGAGGGCAGCACTGTTAGAGATATGAGTATGGCGTTTGGAGGAATGGCACCTACCACTGTAATGCCAGTCAATGCTATGAAACAGGCAATTGGCAGGTAGGAAAATATAATGTTCTTTTGCTCTACAGGCTTTATTTAGTAGGAATAAGTGAAACTAACGATGCACATTTTTTACAGCGGTTATCCTTCAGTGAACACTGTCTTTCACTATCGTAACACATGAATTTCTCGTTTCCTGTCTTAACACACATTAATTTCTCGTTACCTGTTTTAACACAACTGAGTCAACACTTCCTGCTTAGGAGAAGTTAAAAAAAAATGAATGTATACATCATGATTTGACAGTGTGTCAAATAACATATATATATTAGTACTCTAAAAGTTAATGGTATTTGTAAACCCATACCTGAGATTAATTAGCAGCAACAGGTCAACTCATCGTAATACTTGTCCGGATAGAAACTAGATATATTTGAGACATAAACTTCTTTGTTTGGAAACATCTTTTATCAGAGTTTCACGAGTGTGTTCGGTCTTACTATAGTTTGTTTTGATAATTAATATTCATTAACTATTTAATGCATTCTAGATACTTTATACTGAGGAACTGTATTTCATTTTCTTCAACAAATATCGGTCAATTAAACATAACTGAAAGAGTTTCTTTGATCGTCACTGGAAGAATGTCTTTAAGCCTCATTGAGAGAGTATCTTTGATCGTTAACGAGAGAGTATCTTTGGTCGTCATCGAGAGAGTTTCTTTGATCGTTACTAAGAGAGCTTCTTTGATCGTTACTGAGAAAGTACCGATGATCGTTACTGAGAGAGTATCGTTGATCGTTACTGAGAGAGCATCTTTGGTCGTTACTGAGAGAGTATCTTTGGTCGATACTGAGAGAGTATCTTTGATCGTTACTGAGAGAGTATCGTTGATCGTTACTGAGAGAGCATCTTTGATCGTTACTGAGAGAGTATCTTTGATCGTTACTGAGAGAGTATCTTTGATCGTTACTGAGAGAGTATCGTTGATCGTTACTGAGAGAGCATCTTTGATCGTTACTGAGAGAGTATCTTTGGTCGTTACTGAGAGAGTATCTTTGATCGTTACTGAGAGAGTATCGTTGATCGTTACTGAGAGAGCATCTTTGATCGTTACTGAGAGAGTATCTTTGGCCGATACTGAGAGTATCTTTGATCGTTACTGACAGAGTATCGTTGATCGTTACTGAGAGAGTATCTTTGGTCGATACTGAGAGAGTATCTTTGATCGTTACTGACAGAGTAGAATATCTTCGATTGTCATCGCGAGATTTTCTTTGATCGTTGACGAGATAGTGTCTTTGGTTGTCACCTACGGAATATCTTTGGTCGTCATTGAGATAGTATCTTTGATCGTTACTGAGAGAGTATCTTTAATCGTTACTGAGCTAGTGTCTTTAGTTGTCACCACGGAGTATTGTTCGTCACTGAGAGTGTTTTTGATGGTCACCGAGAGAGTAAATTTGATCTTAAATTAGATAGTGTATTTGATCATCACTTACAGAGTATTTTTTATTGTTACTGAGAGGGTACCTATGTCACTGAGAGAGTATCTTTGATCGTCACCGAGAGAATGTCTATGATCGTCACCGAGAGAGTATCTTTGATCTTAAATGAGATAATATCGTTGGTCATCACTGAGAGAGTATGTTTGATTGCTATTGAGAGAGCATCTTTGATCGTCACCGAGAGAGTATCTTTGATCGTCACCGAGAGAGTGTCTTTGGTTGTCACCACGGAGTATTGTTCGTCACTGTGAGTGTTTTTGATTGTCACCTAGAGAGTATCTTTGATCTTAAATGAGACAATATCGTTGGTCATCACTGAGAGAGTATGTTTGACTGTTACTGAGAGAGTATCTACGATGTCACTGAGAGAGTATCTTTGATCGTCACAGAGAGAGCATCTTTGATCGTCACCGAGAGAGTGTCTTTGATCGTCACCGAGAGAGTGTCTTTGGTTGTCCCCACGGAGTATTGTTCGTCACTGTGAGTGTTTTTGATTGTCACCGAGAGAGTATCTTTGATCTTAAATGAGATAATATCGTTGGTCATCACTGAGAGAGTATATTTGATTGCTATTGAGAGAGCATCTTTGATCGTCACCGAGAGACTATCTTTGATCGTCACCGAGAGAGTGTCTTTGGTTGTCCCCACGGAGTATTGTTCGTCACTGTGAGTGTTTTTGATTGTCACCGAGAGAGTATCTTTGATCTTAAATGAGATAATATCGTCGGTCATCACTGAGAGAGTATGTTTGATTGCTATTGAGAAAGCATCTTTGATCGTCACCGAGAGAGTATCTTTGATCATCACCGAGAGAGTATCTATGATCGTCACCGAAAGAGTATCTTTGATCGTCACCGAGAGAGTATATATGATCGTCACCGAGAGAGTATCTATGATCGTCCCCAAGAGGGTATCTATGATCGTCACCGAGAGAGTATCTTTGATCGTCACCGAGAAAGTATCTTTGATCATCACCGAGAGAGTATCTATGATCGTCACCGAGAGGGTAACTATGATCGTCACCGAGAGAGTATCTTTGATCATCACCGAGAGAGTATCTATGATCGTCACCGAGAGGGTATCTATGATCGTCACCGAGAGAGTATCTTTGATCGTTTTTAACTTGGTTATTGTAGAAAGTGGAATGATTCTCTTGTCCATGACATGACTACCGAGAGAGTATCTATGATCGTCACCGAGAGAGTTACTATGATCGTCACCGAGAGAGTATCTATGATCGTCCCCAAGAGGGTATCTATGATCGTCACCGAGAGAGTATCTATGATCGTCAGTTTGATTGCTATTGAGAGAGCATCTTTGATCGTCACCGAGAGACTATCTTTGATCGTCACCGAGAGAGTGTCTTTGGTTGTCCCCACGGAGTATTGTTCGTCACTGTGAGTGTTTTTGATTGTCACCTAGAGAGTATCTTTGATCTTAAATGAGATAATATCGTTGGTCATCACTGAGAGAGTGTGTTTGATTGTAACTGAGAGAGTATCTATGATGTCACTGAGAGAGTATCTTTGATCGTCACCGAGAGAATGTCTATGATCGTCACCGAGAGAGTATCTTTGATCATCACCGAGAGAGTATCTATGATCGTCACCGAGAGAGTAACTATGATCGTTACCGAGAGAGTATCTTTGATCGTTTTTAACTTGGTTATTGTAGAAAGTGGAATGATTCTCTTGTCCATGACATGACTACCGAGAGAGTATCTATGATCGTCACCGAGAGAGTATCTTTGATCGTTTTTAACTTGTTTATTGTAGAAAGTGGAATGATTCTCTTGTCCATGACATGACTACCGAGAGAGTATCTATGATCGTCACCGAGAGAGGATCTATGATCGTCACCGAGAGGGTATCTATGATCGTCACCGAGAGAGGATCTATGATCGTCACCGAGAGGGTATCTATGATCGTCACCGAGAGAGGATCTTTGATCGTCACCGAGAGAGTGTCTTTGGTTGTCCCCACGGAGTATTGTTCGTCACTGTGAGTGTTTTTGATTGTCACCGAGAGAGTATCTTTGATCTTAAATGAGATAATATCGTTGGTCATCACTGAGAGAGTGTGTTTGATTGTAACTGAAAGAGTATCTATGATGTCACTGAGAGAGTATCTTTGATCGTCACCGAGAGAATGTCTATGATCGTCACCGAGAGAGTATCTTTGATCGTCACCGAGAGAGTATCTATGATCGTCACCGAGAGAGTAACTATGATCGTCACCGAGAGAGTATCTTTGATCGTTTTTAACTTGTTTATTGTAGAAAGTGGAATGATTCTCTTGTCCATGACATGACTACACTGTTGGGTGATGATCTCCCCTTGCCTGCTGGATCACCAGGGGGCATGACAGAGTACCGCTGTACTCTCACCATAAGCTTCTTCTTCAAGTTTTACCTTACTGTTCAACTCAGTCTTAACAAACAGGTAAGGCTATTTGTAGGAAAATATGGCAATAATGATATCATCATTTGTTAACTTTTTTGTCAACCGTTATGAGCTGAATGGCAAGTCGATGCAAATTTTTCATCGTGTTTTAAAAATGGTGAACTTTAGACAGATACTTGTATGTTTGGGTATTCAAAAAAAACTTACCAACTGAAATAACAAAACATCTGGCAAATAATTGTTAAGTCACAATAAAACAACGTACGTATAGGAATGAGTACAGAGTAATTAATTATAATAGGTAAAAGAAGGTTAATGTTCGTCGTTACTCTTGGGGCTCGTACCAGTCAAGAATGACAGGTCTTGGTGCTACCAATATAATTCAGTGAACCCCAGTACTTTCCCTGTAGTCCAACGTTCTCTGAACACAGGAGGCTGCCGATAAATTCTCTCCAGCTGATTAAAGATAGTGACTAATATTCATAACAGTTTGTGATATGAACCTATAGTAGAGAATCTCCAGACATTATGACCTACTGGCAGACAGAGCTTCCTGTTATCGTCTTACATACTGGCATCATGTGGCCTCACCACAAAACTTTCTCAACCGTTTATCGTCTTACATACTGGCATCATGTGGCCTCATCAAAAAAAGTTCACAACCGTTTATCGTCTTACATACTGGCATCATGTGGCCTCTCCACTAATCTTTCAGACCCTTTTATCTTCTTGCATACTGGCATCATGTGGCCTCAACACAAAACTTTCTCAACCGTTTATCGTCTTACATACTGGCATCAAGTGGCCTAACCACAAAACGTTCACACCGTTTTATTGTCTTACACACTGGCATCATGTGGCCTCACTACAAAGCTTTCACACCCGTTTATCGTCTTACATACACCCTTTTATCTTCTTGCATACTGGCATCATGTGGACTCACCACAAAACTTTCCCACCCTTTAATCGTCTTACAAACTGGCATCATGTGGCCTCACCACAAACCTTTCTCACCCGTTTATCGTCTTACATACTGCCATCATGTGGCCTCACCACTAAACTTTCACACCCTTTTATCTTCTTGCATACTGGCATCATGTGGCCTCATCAAAAAAAGTTCACAACCGTTTATCGTCTTACATACTGGCATCGTGTGCCCTCACCACGAAACTTTCACACCCGTTTATCGTCTTACATACGGGCATCGTGTGCCCTCACCACGAAACTTTCACACCCGTTTATCGTCTTACATACTGGCATCAAGTGGCCTAACCACAAAACGTTCACACCGTTTTATTGTCTTACATGCTGGCATCATGTGGCCTCATCACAAAAAGTTCACAACCGTTTATCGTCTTACATACTGGCATCATGTGGCCTCACCACTAAACTTTCAGACCCTTTTATCTTCTTGCATACTGGCATCATGTGGCCTCACCACAAAACGTTCACACCCTTTCACCGTCTTACATACTGGCATCATGTGGCCTCACCACAAAACGTTCACACCCGTTTATCGTCTTACATACTGGCATCGTGTGCCCTCACCACGAAACTTTCACACCCGTTTATCGTCTTCCATACTGGCATCATGTGGTCTCACCACAAAACGTTCACACCATTTCACCGTCTTACATACTGGCATCATGTGGCCTCACCACAAAACGTTCACACCCGTTTATCGTCTTACATACTTGCATCATGAGGCCTCACCACAAAACGTTCACACCCTTTTATCGTCTTAAATACTGGCGTCAAGTGGCCTCACCACAAAACGTTCAAACCCTTTCAACGTCTTACATACTGGCATCATGTGGCCTCACCACAAAACGTTCACACCCTTTTATCGTCTTACATACTGGCGTCATGTGTCCTCACCACAAAACGTTCACACCCGTTTATCGTCTTACACACTGGCATCATGTGGCCTCACAATAAAACTTTCACACCCTTTTATTTTCTTACATACTTGCATCACGTGGTCTCACTACAAAACTTTCACACCCTTTTATCGTCTTACATACTGGCATCATGTGGCCTCACCACAAAACTTTCACGCCCGTTTATCGTCTTACATACTGGCATCATGTGGCCTCACCACAAAACGTTCACACCCTTTCACCGTCTTACATACTGGCATCATGTGGCCTCACCACAAAACGTTCACACCCGTTTATCGTCTTACATACTGGCATCATGTGGTCTCACCACAAAACGTTCACACCCTTTTATCGTCTTACAAACTGGCGTCAAGTGGCCTCACCAAAACACTTTCACACCCTTTTATCGTCTTACATAATTGCATCAAGTGGCCTCACCACAAAACGTTCACACCCTTTTATCGTCTTACACACTGGCATCGTCTGCCCTGACCACGAAACTTTCACACCCGTTTATCGTCTTCCAAACTGGCATCATGTGGCCTCACCACTAAACTTTCACACCCTTTTATCTTCTNACACAAAACGTTCACACCCTTTTATCGTTTTACATACTGGCGTCATGTGTCCTCACCACAAAACGTTCACACCCGTTTATCGTCTTACATACTGGCATCATGTGGCCTCAACACAAAACGTTCACACCCGTTTATCGTTTTACATACTGGCGTCATGTGTCCTCACCACAAAACGTTCACACCCGTTTATCGTCTTACATACTGGCATCATGTGGCCTCAACACAAAACGTTCACACCCTTTTATCGTTTTAGATACTGGCGTCATGTGTCCTCACCACAAAACGTTCACACCCGTTTATCGTCTTACATACTGGCATCATGTGGCCTCACCACAAAACGTTCACACCCGTTTATCGTCTTACAAACTGGCATCATGTGGTCTCACCACTAAACGTTCACACCCTTTTATCGTCTTACAAACTGGCGTCAAGTGGCCTCACCAAAACACTTTCACCCCCTTTTATCGTCTTACATAATTGCATCAAGTGGCCTCACCACAAAACGTTCGCACCCTTTTATCGTCTTACACACTGGCATCATGTGGCCTTACCACAAAGGCGTCAAGTGGCCTCACCACAAAACGTTCAAACCCTCTCAACGTCTTACATACTGGCATCATGTGGTCGGTAAACAAAAAGTTCATACCCGTTGATCGTCTTACATATGGCATCATGTGGCCTCACCACAAAGCTTTCTCACCCGTTTATCGTCTTACATGCTGGCATCTTGTGGCCTCACCCGAAAATGTGCACACTGATTTATTGTCTTACATACTGGCATCATGTGGCCACACCCCAAAACTTTCACACCGTTTTATTGTCTTACATGCTGGCATCATGTGGCCACACCCCAAAACTTTCACACCGTTTTATTGTCTTACATGCTGGCATCATGTGGCCACACCCCAAAACTTTCACACCGTTTTATTGTCTTACATGCTGGCATCATGTGGCCTCACCACTAAACGTTCACACCCTTTTATCGTCTCACATACTGGCATCATGTGGCCTCACTTTCACACCCTTTTATCTTCTTACTGACATCATGTGGTCTCACCACAAAACGTTCCCACCTGTTTATCGTCTTACATACTGACATCATGTGGCCTCACCACAAAACTTTTTCACCCGTTTATCGTCTTACATACTGGCGTCAAGTGGCCTCACCACAAGACGTTCAAACCCTTTCAACGTCTTACATACTGGCGTCATGTGGCCTCACCACAAAACGTTCCCCCCCGTTTATCGTCTTACAAACTGGCATTATGTGGTCTCACCACTAAACGTTCACACCCTTTTATTGTCTTACAAACTGGCGTCAAGTGGCCTCACCACAAAACGTACAAACCCTTTCAACGTCTTACATACTGGCATCATGTGGCCACACCCCAAAACTTTCACACCGTTTTATTGTCTTACATGCTGGCATCATGTGGCCACACCCCAAAACTTTCACACCGTTTTATTGTCTTACATGCTGGCATCATGTGGCCACACCCCAAAACTTTCACACCGTTTTATTGTCTTACATGCTGGCATCATGTGGCCACACCCCAAAACTTTCACACCGTTTTATTGTCTTACATGCTGGCATCATGTGGCCACACCCCAAAACTTTCACACCGTTTTATTGTCTTACATGCTGGCATCATGTGGCCACACCCCAAAACTTTCACACCGTTTTATTGTCTTACATGCTGGCATCATGTGGCCTCACCACAAGACTTTCTCACCCGTTTATCGTCTTATATACTGGCATCATGTGGCCACACCCCAAAACTTTCACACCGTTTTATTGTCTTACATGCTGGCATCATGTGGCCTCACCACTAAACTTTCACACCCTTTTATCTTCTCTCATACTGGTATTGTCTTACAAACTGGCATCATGTGGCCTCACCCCAAAACGTTCCCAACCCTTTTATCATGTGGCCTCACCACAAAACGTTCCCCCCCGTTTATCGTCTTACAAACTGGCATCATGTGGCCTCACCACTAAACGTTCACACCCTTTTATCGTCTCACATACTGGCATCATGTGGCCTCACTTTCACACCCTTTTATCTTCTTACTGACATCATGTGGTCTCACCACAAAACGTTCACACCTGTTTATCGTCTTACATACTGACATCATGTGGTCTCACCACAAAACGTTCCCACCTGTTTATCGTCTTACATACTGGCGTTATGTTGCCTCACCACAAAACGTTCACACCCTTTTAACGTCTTATATACTGGCATCATGTGGCCACACCCCAAAACTTTCACACCGTTTTATTGTCTTACATGCTGGCATCATGTGGCCTCACCACTAAACGTTCACACCCTTTTATCGTCTCACATACTGGCATCATGTGGCCTCACCACTAAACTTTCACACCCTTTTATCTTCTCTCATACTGGCATCATGTGGCATGTGGCCTCACCACAAAACGTTCACACCCTTTTATCGTCTCACATACTGGCATCATGTGGCCTCACTTTCACACCCTTTTATCTTCTTACTGACATCATGTGGTCTCACCACAAAACGTTCCCACCTGTTTATCGTCTTACATACTGGCATCGTGTGGCCTCAC